TGCTCTAATTTAATGACATATGTAAATACTAAAATTACTTATAAAAAGAGAAAGTGTATTTCAGTTTTAAAAGATCAAGGTAAGGAAGTGGATGTCTGGATCTAGGAGTGGGATTAGAGAATGACTACAGATGGGGGCACAAGGTTCCTTTTGAGGTGGTAGAAATATTCAAATATTAGATTGTGGCATAAATTGTGTTTTGTAAGTTTATTAAAAATCACTGTACATTTAACATGTGTGAATTTTATGGTATGTGGATTATAGCTCAATAAAGCTGTTAAAAAAAAAAAGAACAAGATATAAATTCTAAAACTCTAAAACAGCCCAAAATTTAATGTCGAAAAGCTTTCAAAACTTTAATTAGTGAGTCGAAGATTAACTGCTGGCATTTCCTGAATTTCTCTAATGATGGTAAAAGAAATGATGTTCCAACTGAAAGCAAACTCTGGGAAACTCTAAAAGGTATGTATTATTATCTTCATTTGACGTGGGAGGAAATTCAGACTCAGAAAGTTAAAATAAATAGCTAAGATCCACAGCCAATACAAACTGGCAAGTATCAAATCCAGTTCTGTGGGTCCCCAAAGCCCACGGCTGCTCTTCCATCTACATTGTGTCCCCTCTCTCTGGGAATAAGAAACATTTCCATTGTTCAGCTTGAGATTACTTTCTGTCTTTGAGGATGAAAGTAAAAACATTTTCCAATGTTTCTGTCAGTATTTTGTATTTTGTACTCAAGAAAATGATCTGTTTTTCTGGGATCTGTTTTCAGTATTGAATAAAAGGGAAAAAAAAGAATCTGGGCCATATGTTAATGGAAAGATATGTGTTTCTTTTGATGTTCACTAGGATGCATTATTTTATGGCTTTTTCAATTATACATATGCTTATGTTTGTAATATATACATATCTAATATTATATACGTGAAGAGACTTGCAGCAATTGTTTCCATTTCTTCCCTGATGATGATGGTTCATTGGAGAATGCAAGATGTAACGTGCTGTGGTGTCTGCTTAGGAACTTTTGAGGCACTCTCCTCTGTCATGCCTTTTGCACATGAGTTCACAGCCCGGGGCACATTCTATAAGTTGCATAGTTTGCTTTTTGCCCATTTTATAAAATGGAATTCTGAAAAATGGAGAGCCGATGGGGCTGCATTCTCCAAGTTTGGACAGGACTGGTAACCTTTGCATCTTCAGTTCTGTCCTCTTAGCATCTAGCATTATTTTCTTTATGCCTTGTTCCTGATCATAAATGATTAACCAGACCTCTGGGCAGTGCCCCTCCAACCCTCCAGACTTATGAAGCCTGCTTTAGCCCCCTTCCCTTCTTGAGTCCTTCCTTTAGTCCAGCCCAGGCAGTTTCCTCTTGCCTCTCTGTGGCCCTCTTTTTTTCTTTCCGAGCCTTTGTAATAACCTAGAGTTTTTTCTTTTCCTTTCTTTCCTTTCTCCTGGGATATGTCTATACTCTCTTTCAACCCTTTGAAACAAAATAAAATCAAAATAAAATAAAAACAGGAGACTAATGCTATGCCCAGCCATCAAATGTCCATGGGACAGATTTGAAATCCAATGCACTATCCATTGTGCAACAGAGCCCATGGGCCAAATTTGGGCTTGTGATATTGGCCCTCTGCTTTCCCTAGGACCTTGAGAGACAGCAGCATGATTTCAATATTCAAAGAAATGTTGATGTCATCGAAAAAAAAATAGTAATTGTTGTAGTGCTATAACAGTGTAATTATGGAAATGGACATCATACGTGCTTTGTTTTTTCCCTCTACCAATATTCGTAGAAACAAGGAAGCCAACAGAAGCTTCTGCTTTCACATATTTGGCAATTGTAGAGCTTATTAAGTAATTTCTAAATTCTTACAATCTTGTTCACATTTCAAAATAAAGTTAATTTGCTGGAGTCCTTGAGTTACTGCTTGCATGCTCAGAGATGATTGAATGCCAGGATTTGAAACGTCATTAAGGTAGTTTCAGGAAATTAGCCATCTCCTAGTATCAACAGTAGGTTGTGTATTTTAGCTGTTTGCCTCACTGCTTCAGTGGGCAGCCTGCTTTCTTATGAACTGTAGTCATTAACGTTCCCCAGCACATGTTTCCAAAACAAGGCAAGTGTCTCCTTCTTGACTGCCTGCATCATAACCACTTTATCATCCAGACATCTTCACGCTATCAGTCCAACACCTTAAAATGGTCTACCGCACACATCGTGCTTCAGCAAAACATGTCAGGGAGGAACAAACTTTCTCTCCCCTCAAGGTTCTTCTGGCTGGTCTAATAATCAAATAAACATGAGATAGATTAGCAAAAGAAAATAACCAAATTTAATACATACATGTGTATGGGAACCCCGCATACATGAGAGAGTCAGAGACTCCATATGAGGAGAGGTCCAGAGATAGAAAGGGAACATAGATATATAAAACATCCTGAGCTAGGAATGAGGTAAGGTACCTTGGGTGCTTCGAATGGTCATTGCAGGATGATTAAGAAGAGCAGACCTTCAGTAAATAGAAGTTTGCCCTGCCCTATAGATAGGTCAAAAGAAGTTATCTCTGATCTCTTATGGGCAAAGCCTATAATTCAAATTCTTCTAGGCAGTTAAGGGGTTAGGGGCAGAAGTTTCTCTTAAGCCTGCAGCTAAGGTTGCCTTTAGCTCAAAACTGCATATCACGGAGGCACATCTTGGGGTGATTCGTTTTGGACCCCCACAATCACCTGAAACTAACTCAAAATTGTTTATATATATACATTGTTTCCTTTCTCTCTTACTCTGGATTTTGTGCAAGTGTAACTAAATTTGGACAAAAGATGTATTCCGAGAGAACTCTGTTTTAAAGGATTTCAAGGTAGTGCTTTTTAGAGCAATGAATGCATCTCATCTATAAAACAATCACCCTGAATTTATTCATTTTGTAGGTCCAGATTTTTCCCCCGAGTAGATTTGCACAGAAGAATTTGGCTGTAATTTAACAAATGCACTTCCTCTGTAAAGGGAACTTTTTAAAGTGCTGTATAAAGTGCATGGATTTGGAAACATTGCAGTTATCAAACTTATAGTGTATCATTTTACAATATGTAAGTTGTACACCTTAAACTTACACAATGATATATGTCAGTTATATCTCAATAAAGCTGGGAAAAAACCACAGTGTTTCCTTTGCAGCAAATAGAATAAGAAAAATGGATACATTGCAAGATGAGCTATTGCGCTTATAAAAGTGAGATGAAAAATGATGAAAATCTGTGAATTCTTTCTTTTAATCAAAACTGAACTGTCAGCGTCAGGAAGGGGACAAAAATGACTACTTTGTGCCTACTATATGCCAAGTCCCAAAGTAAATATTTAAATATCAAGTGCAGCTCAGTGTAGGGTTTGAAACTGCTGACTCAAAGGTTGAACAAACTGAGTTCGAATCCCACACTGCTATGTCACTGATTCAGTGACATAAAGTGTGCAAAGCATCTATATAATAGTGGAGACTTAATAAATATTAGCTGCTCATTATATTGTATTTCATTTAATTCTTTGATGTAGTCAGTGTCCCCACTGTCTAGATTAGGAGACTGAATCTGGAGTAATCTAAGTAACTTGCATAAAGTTTTCAAAATTAGATTGCAGAAGCAGAATTTGGAACCAGGGTTATACTGGGCACTGGGATAAAACGTCTAACCAGGAATTATTGTTTTAGCCTGCCAAGAAAACCTGTGCTGGGATTTTTTTTTTTTTTTTATAGTGGGAAAAACCACCTCAGCTAGAATGACACCCTTTACTGAGAGACAAAGCTGCTCTTATAGACAGCAAATTCATAAATAATATATAAACAAACAAACCCTAACATTTCTAAATACTTTCAGTGGGCCCACTTCAGCAGTCAACCATTCTGAGAATTCTTTTTTATTTTTGCATTGGCTAGCAAATTCTCAGCTCTATAGATAGGTTTATATTTTTCAAAATTTGTGCATGATTTATGAAACATACCAAATACACAAATCCTATCAATACTTCTGCTGTGTAAATGTCATCATCTATGCAAATATCAACTTGTAATGCCAGCAAAATAAATTGTAAGGATGATGTTCCTTTAGTAACCGGAAGGCGAACTTCCAGAGTTCTTTTTTTTTGGCGAGGGTGGGGGGGTGCGGATAACTGCTGTGTTTTTCATCTCCTCTGATGTTATGAGCACCAAGTGATGCTGGGCGCCCTCAATTCCTTGGCCACATCAGTCAAGCTGGATTTCCCTGTTGTTCAAATAGCCCTTCTAGGCTTGGGCTTCTTTTGAGGACATCCTTGTTTTCATCCTCAAGGTTCACGTCTTGGTGGCCATAATGACCAAGTATGGCTACTACAGGGCAATGATTGAAGTTTTCATAGGAAAAGAGTTTCAATGGTGTTGACACTGGACCTGGAAAATCATTTTACTAATGCAGGATTCTGTTTTGCTGTGTTAAATCCTAGATAAATCTGTCATCAACATCCCAAGATATTAGTAGGATTTAGTTCTTATAATAGGCTGAAGTTCTTTTTTCCTTTAGCGGACTATATAAAAGAGAATGGAATGGAATCTCAGTTTCACAAATGAATATGGGCTTAATATAAAGATAGCACAAAACAAGAAGATTTGGGGCTGAATATCGCATAATTTTCATTGAAGTTTACTTCCTAGCACTTAATCTAGTCAAAATATTTTTTTTCACGACATTATTACCTTTGGAATTACTCAGATGCTTAACTATAGCCTGCTGTCTAAATTTGTGTCTGCAATAAGGCGCAGAGTGTACCCATCAAATTCTATGCAAATGAAAAAACTCACTTCAGGGTACTGCTATGGATGTGACAATTTAAGAAGCCACTTCATGTAAACCACTCTGGGTTTTCCTTTCCAGGGTTCAG